AATAAATTAATAGTTTACATAATTCTTTATAAAACATTTAGACAAAGAGAAATAAATTTGACAATGAACTTCGAATCAATATTAATGTCAATGTTCTCGAAATCTAATTATCAACTCATGCGAAAATCCAAAAGAATGTTTTTGTCTCTAGAAAAAAAAACACACACCATGTTTTGTAGAAATAATTGACAAAAATAACGATATTTTATCATATTAATATATATATATATATATACGAAATACTAAATTACGTTAATAATTTATTCGACATTATTGAAAACTTCTAGTAAACATAATTTAGTTTTCTACTATGACATATGCCGTCAGCATTTTTACTTTATTTTTTTTCATTAAAGATGTTTCCTTTAATATATTTGTCGAACAAATATAATCTTATATGATCATCATGACACGGAAAAGAATTAAAAAGTAACTACTGCTACTAATTAATTCATTCTTCCATTGAGAATAACAGATAGCAACATTTTATAGTTATATCAATACAAGAATTTCTCATTAAATTTTCTATTTATGACTATTGATGCTAGATTCTACTTTTTGACTGTCCTATCATTTATTCTATAATAGATTATTATTTTCAAATGATAATTTGTTCTTTAAGTTCAAATTTCCTTTTCTTTTTTTTCTTTTTCTTTATTTTCCATAATAGCAACTGCTCTTTATACAAGTACTTTTTTTATAATAGTATTTGACAGATATGCATATAATGTGTGAACGTCTAGTGAATGAATTAATCATTTGATTGAACGAATGCGTAGGATGAAAACAGAAAGAAAGAAAGAAAGCAAAAAACATGTATTGTACACTATGCGACCTTATGAAACATATACGCGCAAAAGTTTAACCTTGGTTGTGACCGATGGATGTTGACCGCCACTACTCTTGCTAACAAATATATATATATATATATATATATATATGAACAAACATGCGAGCACACACACATACACACACATTATGTATAAGCTTATCGAACGAGCAAGAAGAAAAAAAACCGATTGTATGCATGTGTGTTCATGTGATTGCATTGCGTCCGGTTGACCTTGGTCAAAGAGAGAAAGAAGAAAAAAAAAAGAAAATATAAAGACTCATATTGTACCATCGGTCATTTTACAGTTGTGTTCAAGGTCATCAAACTTATTTGCATTTTGTGCACATGATATAAAATATAGCAGCAATATTTTGTTACAAAGATTTTTTGATTTTTTTATATGATGAATATTATTCATGAAGTAAGTTGTAAAAAGAAATTGATATTTGCGTCACATAAAACGAGAGAGAAAAAAAACACATACAGCAAGTTATTTGCTAACATCTACTAGAATTCTTGTCATCGACTTGTTATTGCTATCACGAAAGATCTTATATCTACACACATATATATATATATATATATTTATGGTGATTGCGTGAGATGAAGAGGGAAAAAAAAAAGACGAACAAGGACATGAAAACAACTCAGTCTAGGGACGCGACTATATAACGTAATATTACATAAAAATGTGAAAATAGAAACATGTCGAGGGAGGTGGAAGGGAAAAGAAAAAGGAAGAAAAATAATAAGAGATGAAAGAAAGAAAGAAAAAAAGAAAAAAATAAGAAAAATTACATAATTCGATTTGACAGAAAAACACGTCTAGCGTCGGGAACAGAACACTGTTTCATAACAATAATGCGAACTACGACAGAAAACTAGTGATAGTAGAAAATTGCTTGTCTTGTTCTCTGTTTTTTGACGTTAATGGTAAAACTCCAGAACGTATGTTCTGTCTGACGTCCTTAACTTACGCAAGAAGAAAAAAAAAAAGCAACAAAAACAGAAAACTACTGTTACTGCCTATGACGTCGACTATTAATGGTCTAATGCAATCGCACATACGCAAGTAAAAAAAAAAAAAAAAAAGAAACGACGCAAGAAGATAGAAAATAGAGAAAGAAAAGGAGAGGAGAAAAGAATCAAATCACGCAATCGCCTTTCTCCGTCATCGGACGCCACCAAAAACATATTATTCGCTTTCTTCCATACTCAGCACTCACAAGGTCGTTCTGTCTGGATTGATAGTGTTGTTGTTGTTGGGTGACAATAACAAATTTTCCCGGTGAAGTTAATAATAACAAAAATAATTCCGAATATCATCGATAATTAGAGAATGGTAAGTTCTCAATGTCAAAATGACCTAATTAAATATCGACTAATTTGTTATGATTAATGCGTAATTATGAAAAAAAAAAAGTAACGAATGACGTGATATCTGTAAATATGCGTTATAAATGTAGAAGATATCATTTTCTTTGTTTCTTTTTTTGTCATCTCAGGTTGGCCCAGTACAAAACGAAGAATCATCATTAAGCCCTAACATAGATAATACTCAACAACAACAACATTATCGGCTTCAATTACTAGCACAAGCCGTTGAAAAAATAGAAAGTGAGTGTTCACAAAAAACACTTACTACAATAACATCTGCTCCTAAAAAACAACACCACCAACAACAACAACATCAAATTCCAATCGATTCTCTTTCCATGACATCATCATCTAAACAACAACAAGAATTATTAATGCAATTACTTGCCCAACAAAATGTGGCTGCAGTTATGGCTGCTGCTGCTGCTGCAGCGGCAGCACAACGACAAGTTCAACAACAAAAAGTAGAACCAATATCACCACCATCAACATCATCGGCATCATCAACAGCTGAAAGTCCAATAGATTTTTCTTCTCATCGTTTAACAGATGATATTAATGAATGTTCAACACCAACATCATTATCACCA